AATATGACCGATCTGACAAACCAAAAATGGTGACATGGGGAAGGGACTTTAATATTGCTTATAGAAAGACATCAAATACTACATCAATAGTAACTCATGGTTACAAACAGGAAAGCCATGCCATTTGAACTAATGGACCTATGGCCATACTACCCTGAATGCACTTGATCTTGTCTGAACTATTAGTTTGAAGTTATTACTAAAAATAGAATTATTGAGATTGGGCATGGTGGTGCACGCCTATAATTCCAGCACTTGGGAGGCTGAAAACAAGAGGATCTCTATGAGTCCGATCTGTGAATTGAGACTCTGAAGACCCTGTATTTAATACATACAAAAATAAAAGATAAAATAAAATAAATGGATTTTTTTGGCCGGCCAAATAGCTCAGGGGATTAAAGCACCTGCAAGCAGGTGCAGGGGCTCGGGGTTCGATCCCCAGACCTGCCTTGCCACCTCACCCACCCCTGGGGTACGCTAAGATGGCAGTTGAGACTGGGTGTGGTGGTGCGTGCCTGTAATCCCAGCACTTGGGAGGCTATAAACCGGGGAATCACTAAGAGTCCAATCAAGTAGAGAGACCGTGAACACCCTGTAGACCCTTCCCTAAAATACAAAAAATAAAAAATGAAAAAATTTTTAAATGGATTTTTTATGTAAATGAGAAGGCTTATCTATAACACTTAAGCATTTCCAACAACTCTGAAACTTATAAATGGCTGCAGAGGTCACTTTGTTCATCTTCACCTGAGTTTTATCCATAAGATCTTTGTATGTTTGAATTTCCCATACAATAATGAATAATTTCTTCTCCCATTCAGTCTGTTATGTCAGGCAGTTATATTGCTTTTGTCTTTCTTTAGCTATCTGCTTAAGTTCTGAGGGTAGCTCCTTTTTTTTTTTTTTTTTTTTTTTTTTTTGAGAGACAGGGTCTCACGATGCGGTTTGGGATGGCCTTGTGCTGTAGTCCCCAGGCTGGTCTCAAATTTGGAGATCCTCCTGGCTCAACCTCCCAAATGCTGAGATTACAGGTGTGCACCTCCACACTGGGTTCCGGGGCTGCACCATGGGCGCCTGCATCTAGGGCAGAGATCACATGGCATGTAGGGCCAGGGATCAAACTCGGGTCCTTGTGCTAGCCAGGTAGGTGCTTATGCCTCTGAGCTATCTCTCCAGCTCCTACTTTTTCCTTCTGCAAGGTTTCTTTTTTGGTGACAAAAAAGAACACATGCTCTTTCTGTTGCTTTCCCTGGAAATCCAGCAGATGGGAGCTCTGATTTTAGTCTTTCAATTCTCTTAGGTTCTGCAACTCTTTATTTGTATGTATTTGACATATATAGACCTCAATCTTAATTTCAACATAGCTCTATAAGCAGCATCACTTTATCTTTCTCCGTATCACTTTCATTTGACATACCTTTTCATTATTCCTAGAGTACCTATTTCCTCACTTCTTGAGAGACTTCTGTCTCCTGTTTTCACTGCTGATTCCTAGTGCCAACCACATAGCAGGTATTCGATGAACATTTATTAAAAAGTTGAAAATGATATATAGAAAAAAAAGAGAAAAAAGATAGCATATAACTTATATTTACAAAGAGCTTCATGACTCCAGCAGGGTCAAAAACACAATGATTTTTTACCCTGTCTAGATAATGAAAACACTTAGCATCTGAAAGGATAGAAACTCATCCTTGGCAGATACTAAAATCTAAGTGATAGAGGACCTGTCTTGGTCACTTTTCTCACAGCTGACACCCCTAACTTAAAAGAGATTTTGGCCCCCGTTTCAGTGCACAGTCAGCTGGCTCCAAGGCAGGGCAGCACGGCACGGGGGAACAGTCGAGGAACATCTGCTCACCTCATGGCAGACGGGAAGCAGAGGGCCAAGGGAGGGGCCAGGAAGGGAGCTCTGCTCTTCTGGGCCATGCCATGGTAACTTACCTCTTTTGACCTGGCATGCAAGTCACCTTCCAAAGGTCTGCCCAAGGAGCCTCTGAGGCTTCGGGGACAGCTCTATGAGCTACAGGCCCATATAAGATACTCTGCTGTAGACTGGGAGGAGCAGCATGCTTATTTAACATCTCTAAGGTTCTGGGTCATAACCACACATAGCAACCCCCACCACCCCCCAAAAAAATTTCCTGAAATAGTGTATTTCTAAAATGTGGAGGTTATTGAATATCTAGTGAGATAGATGACATGGACTGAATGTGTGTTTTCTCCTCCCCCCACCAAATGTACAAATGCCCAATGTGAGGAAATTTGAAATGAGGACTTTGGGAAATGATCAGGCCATGAACAGACACTTGTTTCCATAGAAGAAGCCCCAGACGGCTCCCTTGCCCTTTCCATATGTGAGGAAACAGTGAGAAGGCAGTAAGAACCAGGAGCGGGACCTCACCAGACGCTAGGTTTGCTGGCAACTTGATCTCAGTCTTCCTGGCCTCAAAATAGCAGAAGTTACCTTTGTATTTTTATACCAGCCAGTTTATTGTATTTTGTTATAGCAGCCAAAGGGAACTAAAACACATAAAGAAATCCATTGATGATAGGTGAAAGTCAATAGTACACAGTGCAAAAACTTTAGGAACAATCTTGCAATGTAAGATAAGAATGTATTATTTATTATGATGTTTATACAGTAACACCAAAATAATGCTCTTTAAGTTACATAGCTATTTTCTAAAAACACTAGAAAAATGCAAGATTAACACAGTAGGAATGACATGAATTTATTACTCAAAATTGAAAATACAGTCTATTTTTTAAAGTGATTTGAATTGATTTTTACATAGATATTCTAAATATAGAAAGTCTTAAAACATATACTATATAAAGATTTGAGTATGGCACATATTTGGTGTCGGCTTATTTCATCAGGTATCATGCAGAAAAATAATTATGAATATAAAGTTAAGGAAAGTAGGAAGGATGGTATTTTGTACTATAAGAACCAGATGAAGAATGATACATTTCACAGCTTAATCTTCAGAAGATTTTATTCAACTATTGCATAAAAATCACTGTGTGACATCATCACACATGTGAGCTAAGAGCTATTAAATACAGTAAAATAGCTCTCTTGGTAGAGCGACTATTCTTTTGGTACACAATTAACATTCTCCTCGGCCACCTAAAAAGGTGGTCTTCATATAATTTTTAAAATATTAAATAACAAAATAATGTGTATAGATCTGTTTGGTTATGTTAAAAATCATCATCTAGTCAACAATCAAAAATTTATTTTAAATATGGAAAAACTAGAGAGAACTAAACCTAGGCATACTCTGTAAGCCACTTTGTAAATAGTGACATGTCTGTTTGACTTCTTAAATTCACTCAAACACTGATGCTGTACAGATGTTCTGTAAACACTCATTTATTTATACTATTTCCTGAGGTAATCTGCATACTATTGTTATTACAGTAGCCTCACTATTTAATAGTGATGCAAATTTACTTTGGAAAACTTCAAAATAAAAACAAAATTTAAATGTGGAGTAACATGTAGTTTAACATGCTTTCTCTATTACAAAAGCCATATTTAAGAAATTCCTAGTTACCTATCAAAATAAAATGTTTCTTATTTTCAAATGACAAGAAAAATTCATCCACAAATTCGAGGCCATAAAAAAATAAATTTCCAAATGAGATCATTCATTACTCTAGAAGAGTGGCGGCAGCCCCATGCCATGCACAGAGCAGTGGGCACACAGAGCCCGCTCTGCAGACTGTGAGCCAAGCCACTCTAGTTGATTTTCCTAAACTACAGCCTCAGTATTCAGGTTGAATTGCAGTGTTGGCATTTTGCAGTGAGTAAGTGGGTTTTGAGTTGCAGTTTGGGCACTCAAGTCCCTCAAATGTTCTCCACCACTGCTCTAGAATAATGTCTAAAATTTGTATAGGTCTTTCCATTTTACAACATGGTAAAATAGCATCCTCATGCCAAATTTGAATCTCTAGCTATTTACCTGAAACAAGAGATAGGTGCCCATCCACTGAAAGTGCATACCTCATAATAGTCTTTTCTAGGAGAAAAAAGTGAGGCAGTGTTATTTATGTTTATTGAGGAGGATGGGTTGATAATTGCTATTAGCATAATGGCTTACTTGAATAAAGAAATTTAATATTTTCCAGAAAATACACTGCTTTGATACTGAAATCTTCAATGTTAAATGATTACAGTTAAAAAGAAAACACTAATGGCGATCCTCCTGTTTTCAGCCTCCCCAGTGCTAGGATTCTAGCTGTGTGCCGCTATGCCCAGATGCTCAGTGTACCTGGGGCGGGGCTGGCATGGCAGGCATGTGGTGCTGGGGATTGACCCCTGGCCCCTGCACTTGCCTGCTTGTCTAAGCAGGCACTTACTTAGTCTGCTGAGCTATCCATTCCTGTTTTGCTGTCTTTTGAAACAGGGTCTTGATGCTGTATTTTTTTTTTTAATTTTATTTATTTATTTATTTTTTTGCGGAACTGGGGATTGAACTCAGACCCTTGCAGCAAGTGCTTATGCTACTGAGCCATCTCCATGGCCCCCTTGATGCTGTATGTTTTAGGCTGGTCTTGAACTTACTATGTAGCCTAGGCTAGTCTCAAACTTTGGGTGATCATCCTGCCTCACTCCTGAGAGCTGGAATTACAGGCATGCACCAGCACAGGGGAGGCTGAAAACAAGAGGATCACTACGAGTCCAAGCTGCGTAGTGAGACCTTGTACCAAATACAAACAAAGAGAAAAAACCAATCAAAAAATACCTTTTACATGACACAACCTGCCTTTGTAGATTAACAAAGATGTATTTCTCCATTTTCACTGTTAAAAATCAAGAAAAACACGATTATAGAAATTCCAATGCTTTAAAAATAGAATTTATGCAATGATAATTTAAAAT